GAGTGGGGTGAGGGGGTGAGGGGGTGAGTGGGTGAGGGTGAGTGGGGTGAGGGGGGTGAAGGGGGTGAGTGGGGTGAGGGGTGAGTGGGGTGCGTGGGGTGATGGGAGTGAGGGGGTGAGTGGGGTGAGGGGGTGAGTGGGGTGAGTGGGGTGAGGGTGAGTGGAGTGAGTGGGGTGAGAGTGAGTGGGGTGAGTGGGGTGAGGGTGAGTGGGGTGAGTGGGGTGATGGGAGTGAGGGGGTGCAGTGGGGTGAGGGGGTGAGTGGGGTGAGTGGGGTGAGGGTGAGTGGAGTGAGTGGGGTGAGGGGGTGAGTGGGGTGAGTGGGTGAGGGTGAGTGGGGTGAGGGGGGTGAAGGGGGTGAGTGGGGTGAGGGGTTGAGTGGGGTGAGTGGGGTGATGGGAGTGAGGGGGTGAGTGGGGTGATGGGAGTGAGGGGGTGAGTGGGGTGAGGGGGTGAGTGAGGTGAGTGGGGTGAGGGTGAGTGGAAGTGAGTGGGGTGAGTGGGATGAGGAGGTGAGGGTGAGTGGGGTGAGTGGGGTGAGTGGGATGAGGAGGTGAGGGTGAGTGGGGTGAGTGGGGTGAGTGGGATGAGGAGGTGAGGGTGAGGGGGGTGAGGGTGAGTGGGGTGAGGGGGTGAGGGTGAGGGGGGTGAGTGGGGTGAGGGTGAGGGGGTGAGGGTGAGTGGGGTGAGTGGGGTGAGTGGGGTGAGGTTGAGGGGGGTGAGGGTGAGTGGGGTGAGGGGGTGAGGGTGAGTGGGGTGAGGGGGTGAGTGGGGTGAGGGGTTGAGTGGGGTGAGTGGGTGATGGGAGTGAGGGGTGAGTGGGGTGAGGGGGTGAGTGGGGTGAGTGGGGTGAGGGTGAGTGGAGGTGAGGGGGGTGAGTGGGATGAGGAGGTGAGGGTGAGTGGGGTGAGGAGGTGAGGGTGAGTGGGGTGAGGGGGTGAGTGGGGTGAGTGGGTGAGGGTGAGTGGGGTGAGGGGGTGAGGGGGTGAGTGGGTGGAGGGGTGAGTGGGGTGAGTGGGGTGAGGGGGTGAGGGTGAGTGGGGTGAGGGGGTGAGTGGGGTGAGGTAAGTAAACTAAATTGTCCCCTCCTGACTGAGGAGAGTCATAAATCCAGACTCGGAACGCCTTTTTGCAGCAGGCTAAAGACAAAGGTCCCCCGTATTAGCCTCTAACAGACTGTAGGGGCAAGTGCTGTTAGTAGCGAGTAGCAGCAGCACCTGTGAAGGTAGACACAGACAAAGGTCCCCCGTGTAGCCTCTAAACAGGCTGTAGGGGCAAGTGCTGTGAGTAAGCGAGTAGCAGCAGCACCTGTGAAGGTAGACACAGACAAAGGTCCCCCGTTGTAGCCTGTAACAGGCTGATGGGGCAAGTGCTGTTAGCGAGTAGCACCTGTGAAGGCTACCGGCACTGTGGCACACGAGGGGGTGGGTGACCCTGACGATGCCTGCTGCTACTGCTGTATTTGTGGAGTCTGCGTCTCTCTCATCATCATCATCACGTTGGCTATGAGATGTTAACTACCTCGCCTGGTATACAGGAGGTCGTGGGTTTTACCCCGACCCTGACGATGCCTGCTGCTGCTGTATATTTGGAGTCTGCGTCTCTCTCGATCCCCCTGCTCACGGCCAGCACCCAGTGACGATTATCTGAACCGGTCCTGGGCCTCCCCTAGGTCGACTCAGCCTCAAATGAGTACCTGGTGTAGCGGTGTGAAGTAGGAACATCGCCACTGGGGAGAGACAAAGGCGGCCCGGCGTGGTGCTGGTAGCCACCCACCCCCCTCTTGTGCCTTGCATCCAACTCTCTACGATTGATATTTAACAATTTTTCTGTCCCACTGAGAGTTGCAGCTATTTATCAGCAGCGACCCAGGCCATCATCATCACCATCATCACCACCATCATCATCATCACCACCATCATCATCACCACCATCATCACCATCGCATCACCATCATTAGCACCATCACAACCAGCATCATCACAGCATCACCACCAGCAGCACCACATCATCACCAGCAGCAGCACCAGCAGCACCATCGCACCACCAGCATAGCATCACCATCAGCAGCATCACCACCATCATCATCACCATCATCAGCACCAGCACAACAACTCATCATTACCAGCACAACCATCAGCAGCACCAGCACAACCATCATCATCACCACCATCATCACCAGCACCACCATCAGCATCACCATCATCACCATCATCACCACCATCATCATCACCACCACCAGCATCATCATCATCACAACATCATCACATCATCACCATCATCATCACCACCATCATCACAACATCACAACATCATCATCATCATCATCGCCATCACCTCCATACAACCATCACCACCATCACCACCATCATCACCATCACCACCATCATCATCACCATCACAACCATCATCATCACCATCATCACCAGCATCATCACCATCATCACCACCATCAGCACCATCATCATCACCACCATCACCACCATCATCACCATCATCA